CACTCTGTCTCTCTCAAAAATAAATAAACATAAAAAAAAAAAAACTTTAAAAGAAAGGAACAGCTATCTCAGGGCATTGAAAACTTCTGCTAATGATTAGACAGAGCAGGTAGTACAGACAAGTACTTCCTTTGAGAACTAAAAATGGTGGAAGAAAATATTAAATATACTTAATTTTGTGATGGCACTGGAGAGCTACCAAGAAGTGAGAAAATACAGGAATAGGATTAGAGATAAGACATAACCTCTGGAGTCTGGGACTATTAAAAAGAGGTGTTTGCTAATTTTTAAAGCAAATACCGGAGAGGTTAAGACAGTTTTTAACAAATTTATGGACTTAATGGGACAAATACTAAAATTAAGTTCCTTCACAGAATGAGGCACCTAGAAAATCTCCCCAAGTCCTACATCTCTACGGTGAAAAACACCAGACAAGCCTTTCCTGGGACTGGAGCCCAGTCTCACACTCTCAGTACAAGACTGGACGAAGACAGGCAGGGGTGCTTATGCTCTTGCCTAGTCCTACCTGTTAGAGTCAAAGGCAAATCTTCTCTGGAAGATGATACCATCCAGACCACCTCAGTGTCTCTGCAGTGCCTAATATATAGTGCCTGGTAGCTGATTTAAAATTACCAGGTATAGGGGAAAACAAGCATTACCAAAATCTGAAACAACGAATGGAAAAAGGTTTACAGAGGGTCTAAATAATGGGGCAATCTCTAGACAAAGCAGAGGAAGACATGAAGCAGAAGCATACTTTGTATAGATAATAGCAAGAAATTTCCCAAAAGGTAAAGAAAAAAACCACCAAGCTACAGATTTAAAAAAAAAAACACAGCAAACCCCAAACAAGCACACAGAAAATCACACCTAGGCATGCCACTGTGAACTGCTGGCAGCTGAAGATAAGACAAATTTTGAAGGAGGGAGAGAAAAGGGAAAAAAAAGCACATTATCTTCAAAGGTACTTACATTGAAAGCTTATTTTCAAAAAAAAAAAAAAAAAAAAAAAAAAAGGAAAACATATATGGATTAATATAAATGAACATAGACTCAAATGACTGACCACATCAACTACACACAAAATCCAAATGCATGACATTAATACCATGTAAACCAAGAGGGAAATAAAGGAGCTAATGTTCTAGCTCCTCATCTCATCTGGAAAGTGGAGAAGGGACTCATTTATTTTAGCCTTCAATGAGTGAAGTATGCATACAGTATTAATATCTGATGCAGTAAATTTTAAGGCAAAAAAGAACATCAGTAGCAATAAAAACAGACATTTCATAATAATTAAGTTTCAATTAACCAGAAAGAGTATAACAACTCTAAATCTGAATGTATGTAAAAACAAAGACTCAAAATATAAGAAAAAAATGGGTTGATCTACAGGAGAGACAAATTCACAAATATTCTGGAAGATGAAACACTGCTTTTAGAATCTGTTAGGAAAAAAAAAGATTTAAAAAAGTCTGTAAGAATACAGAGGGTCTGCAAACACAATCGGATTAATTTGTAGACACTGGGAGGGGACAGAAGATTACTCTTCCGAAAGTGCAACCCTGTCTTCTTAGAAAACAAACTCAGATGTGAACAGTAGTGTCCCATAGTCACCTGGCACGTAATGGACATGCAGAGAATGTACCAACAAAACTTCCATGGAAGGAAAGAATTCTAGGTTTTGAAACCCATTTTCTTAATTTGTCTCTTTTCCAAACAGAAATTTTAAAAAATATAGACTTCTGTGGATGAGGCTGACAGTCCAAAGTGCTGACCTCTGGATCTGTGACCTGAGTCCCATGGCCTCAGGGCCAGTCCTGAGGTGACAAGTAAGGAGTCTGTGGGGCTGCTGTCTACCTCATTGGTCACTCTGGGGACACAGCTGGGGATAACTTTATGCCTCTTGGGTGTGAGTTACCTAGGCCATGGCAGGGAATTAATAAATACAGGAACATATTGGTTAATAACTAAAGAGGCCTATGAATATTCAAGTAGGCCTGTGGTTCTGATTACCAATCTCAAAGTCAAATAAAAAAAGTGTTTATCCAAATTTCAACACACTAATAGATACTATAAATAATAAATAAGAGTGGCTTCTTCCAAAAGGGGGGGGGAAAGTCCTTTCTTTGTGTCTTTAATGTCAATTTTCACAAAAAACCTCTGGCTTCTCTTCATTATAGACCTGAACTGTCTATACTTTTGCCTTGATTTCAGCGTCCTTGGACGATGAAAAAATTTTTTTAGCTCTCTGCTCATTAAGAACTTTATTTAGTCAATATCGAATATTTTTGCTACCCAGGGCGTGAGAAGCTCAACAGCACTGAACTTATGAAGCTGCTTCTCCACAATATGAAACAAGAAAGACTAAGTCCTCTCCTTGCAGATTTGCTATTATTTCCAGGGGCTTGACAATTCCAGTACCTGTCCAGTAACTAAGTGTGGCCATCACACATCGCTTAAGCTCTTCCTCCCAAGTATCTCCCGCAAACGTGTAGCTGGACATCAGCTCTGTAATCCAGACATTCCTACTTCTGACCAGAGGTAAGGTGGCTTTGGTTACCTCCTGCTTCTTAGTCACATGGTAGCCTCTCATTCCTTGGTATCCCCACACCATGATTGTGGCACTGGACATGCTACTTTCCCAGTGTCAGATTTCTGATGTATCCTGAGCTGTGGCCTCCAGTTTAAGGCTTTCTTAAAGTCACTGCCTTTATAGGTCTTTTGTTTAGTATGAATTTTCTGGTGTTTAATAAGATTTGATCTGATAGTGAAGGCTTTTCCACACTCAGCACATATAAATGGTTTCTCTCCTGTGTGAATTCGATGATGCTCATGGAGTTGTGACTTCTTAATGAAGGCCTTCCCACAGTCACTGCATCCATAGGGTTTCTCTCCAGTATGAATTCTCCGATGCCGATTTAAGTGTGATTTCTGGATGAAGGACTTCCCACATTCAGTACAAATATAGGGTTTCTCTCCTGTATGAATCCTCTGATGCATAATTAGTGTTGATTTTCTTGCAAAAGCTTTCCCACATTCGCTGCACTCATAGTGTCTCTCTCCAGTATGAGATTGCTGATGTATATGGAGGCCTGACTTCCGAGTGAAGGCTTTTCCACAGTCACTACATTTATAGGGTTTCTCCCCAGTATGAATTTTCTGGTGCGTAAACAGATTCGATCTGTCAGTGAAGGCCTTTCCACACTCAGCACATCTGTAGGGTTTCTCTCCTGTGTGAATTTGCTGATGCACATGGAGTTGTGACTTCTTAGTAAAGGATTTCCCACAGTCACTGCATTCATAAGGCTTTTCTCCAGTGTGAATTCTCTCATGTGTAATAAAATGTGACTTGTGGAAGAAGGCCTTTCCACATTCAGTGCAAACATAAGGTTTTTCTCCTCTGTGAATTCTCTGATGCATACTTAGTGTTGACTTCTGGATGAAGGCTTTCCCACACTCAGTGCATTCATAATGTCTCTCTCCAGTGTGGCATTTCTGATGTATCCTGAGCCGTGACTTCCAAGTGAATGATTTTCCACAATCACTGCATTTATAGGGTTTCTCTCCAGTATGAATTTTTTGGTGTTTGATGAGATTTGACCTGTCAGTAAAGGCCTTTGCACATTCAGTACATATATAAGGTCTCTCTCCAGTATGAATTTTCTGGTGTATAATGAGATTTGTCTTGTGAGTGAAGACTTTCCCACATTCTGTACATATAAAGGGATTCTCTCCTGTGTGAATTCTCTGATGCACATGGAGTTGTGACTTCTTTATAAAGGATCTTCCACAGTCACTGCATTCGTAAGGTTTCTCTCCAGTATGAATTCTCTCATGTGTAATAAAATGTGACTTCCGTATAAAGGCTTTCCCACATTCAGTACATACATAGGGCTTTTCTCCCGTATGGATTTTCTGATGCATACTTAGTGTTGATTTCCTTGTGAAGGCTTTTCCACATTCAGTACATTCAAAGTGTTTCTCTCCAGTATAATTTTTTTTATGTATATTGAGATTTGAATTCTGAGAAACATTTTTCCCACATTCACTGTATTCATAGGGTTTTTCTCCAATATGAATTCCCTGGCATCTGAACAGATCTGACTTCTGGATAAAGGCTTTTCCATATTCACTGCATTTACAGTGATTCTCCTCAGTGTGAGTTTCCTCATGACTTGACTTGAGGCAAAAGTCCTCCTCATATTCAGTGCATCTATAGGGTTTCTCTCCTGTAGAAGCCTTCTGAGGTACAGCAAGTTGGGGCTTCTGAGTGAAGACTGTCTCACATTTGCTGCATTCATGCTGTTTCTCCTCAGTATAGATACTTTGATGTGCAAAGAGGTGTGACCCCTGGGTGAAAATTTTTACAGAATCAGAAAATAAATTGAGATTCTTCCCAGTATGAATTTTGTGATGTTGAATGAGAGCTTGCTTATGACTCAGAAGTTTCTTACACTGATTATATTCACAACCATTCATTTCTGTATGAGAATTCATAGGAGTGAAAATATTACCATATCCAATAATCTTATCAAGATTTTCTATTGCATTGTTTCTATAATTACATAAGCTTACAATAGGCTTCAAACTCCTTCCAAATGAGTCATAGTTCTGGAGTCTTTTTCTTGCAGGAACAAGGTATGTGTTTACATGATCAGTTTTCCCAGTGTCCTTATATTCACAGTCTCTCTCATTAGCTACTGTTTCCTTGTCAACAAAGGCGACATGACTTACACTTTTGTTCTGGTATTCCTCACATCTCTCCGTCTGTTTGTCATCTTGCCACAATTCTTCTAAAATGGAATAATATGGGTCATCTCTTGTAAAGAGATTAATTTTCTCAAACCGTATCGAAACTTCTTTAGACGTTCCCTGCTGTAAAGTTTTAAAACCAATATCCCCATCTAAAAAAGAAGGAAAAAATAAAAGACACAAAGAAGAGTTAAGAACATAGAAGGGATAATATATATAGGTGATTTAGGGTGAATACAGAGAACTGTGAGAAGCTTATATAAATTTAACAGATATGTATGCAAATATATAAAACACATATAATACAGGATTTGTAATAGATTTATATGTGGGACAGCAGTAAAATGAACCCTTACAGTACACTTACTAAATAATCAGTGGCAGCTAGATGTGCCAGGCACCGTCCTAAGTTCTATACTACCTCACGTAATCATCACACCCTTTCGCGCTTGGTCTCACCCTTGTCTTTATTTTAGAGACAAGGAAACTGAGCCACAGAAGAGTCAGGTAATTTGCCTAGATCAAATGTTTAGTAATTGGAGAAGATGAGCCTCAAACTGAAGCCATGTCAGCTCCATGTACATTAGCAGAAATACACAGTAAGGTGTCAGAGGGGCAAAGTGACAAACTATGTGGCTTAAAAGAAACATATGGGTCTAGCTTCTTATCATCCTCATTATTCTTATCCTATTATTCTAGTTATCCTTCATCCACTAATCTCCCACTTTCTCTTTCCCTATTAATCACTGTGCCCTAAACACCAATTTATTTATGCACAGTGAAACTACTGCAGCTTCAGTCATTCTGACTTAGCCAAATGGCAAAAAATATCTATGATTCGATTCTTTGTTCTGGTTTGGGGTGCAGAGATACATGCACTCAACAGGAGGCATATAACAGCAGACAGGGGTGGCTTTCTGAAGCAGGGCCTGAAAGCTGTCAATCAAAACCTGTCCTCTTCCTTTCTTTGGTTTACAAACCCACTGAGAGAAGAATTTGTCATGTGTTAGATAATAGGCAGTAACGTCAGTTTGGATCCATATACCTATGACAGGATAAACGTGGTGTTTTGAACAATGAAATCTATTAGTAGCACCTAAGATGAACTAGTAAAAAAATATGGAGGTAGCACATCCAAGTAAGGTTAGAATAAACTAAAGGCTTGAAGAAATATAGACATGGTTTTGAGTAAGAGGAGGAGGGCATCTAAGTGATATTTTCTAAAAGAGAAAAGTTAGTAAAAAGAGCAGAAAGAATTATTTGAGAAGATGTATCACAGGGAAAGTAAAGAACCACAATAGAACATGATGAAATTTTGAAAGGTGAGCTATCTACTCTTAGCATGCTGCACTGGACCTGCTCTTCCTTCATATAAGCGGCCACCAGATGGACCCTTAAATGCAAAAGCCATCAGTCATTCCCCTGAGTATTCTATACAAGGGCCAATGCTTGCTTGAGACACACAATCAACAGTGACAGCATTAAGATTCGTTTCCCTGAGCTGAGCCTAGTGATGATCACAATTTATGCTGGAATTGAGACCCTTCATTTCAATCTGAGACACACAACTGTCTCTAAATGGCAATTATAACTTTCAACTTGGGTTGGTTATACATATGACAGAGGCTCATAGGACTCAGCAAATGTAGCATAAAGCAGCAAAGTTCTAAGTATGTAGTCACCAGCAGGCAGGTGAAACTGATAGCAAAAGAGAAAAAAAAAAAAGACCCCTGTGGCACTGGTGATCATCTTGACATCCTGCTCACTGCACCAACTGTTAAGCTGCCTGCAAAGAAAGGATGGACCCCCACCCCAAATTTGGTTCAGATGTCAAGACCAAGGATGTAATACACACACCAACAAGGTATGAACAGGTTCATTACTTAGCACAAGCAGTCAGGCTGACCACTCCTGTGCAGCTTCCCACCAGCACCGAGGGAGGGAGCACCTGTGCTTTCTTGTAGATTTGCCCAGATGTGGGGCAGAAGGCAAGGAGAGAGGGGTGAGGCTTAGGAGATGTCAGCAGTCAGACATCAAAAATGAAGTCAGATGTGACACCTAAAGCACAAGCCACAAAACCAAAATCAACAAGTAGAATTGTATCAAACTTAAAAGATTCTGTGCTCACAGTAAAAGAAACCAACAACAAAATGAAAGGAAAGCATACAGAATGGGAGAAGATATTTGCAACCATGTATCCAATAAGAGGTTAAAATCCAAAATAGATTAAAAAAACCCCGTAAGACTCACTAGCAAAAAACCAAATAACCTAACTAAAAAATGGGCAAAGGACAAGAATATTCTATCTAGCAAGGCTGTCATTCAGAATAGAAGGAGAGGGGGTGCCTGGATGGCTCAGGTCATGATCTCACAGCTCATGAGTTCAATCCCTGCATCAGGCTCTGTGCTGACAGCTCAGAGCTTGGAGCCTGCTTTAGATTCTGTGTCTCTGGCTCTCTTTGCCCCTCCCCTGCTTGTTCTCTCTCTCGTTATTTCCCTCTCACTTTCTCTCTCTCTCTCTCAAAAAAAATAAACATTAAAAAAATTAAGAAAAAAAAAAAGAATAGACGGAGAGATAAAGAGTTTCCCAGGCAAACAAACTTAAAGGAGTTCGTGACCACTAAACCAGCCTTGCAAGAGATCCTAAGGAGTAGGTACTCTGTGAGTGGAAAGCAAAGACCAAAAGTGATAAAGACAAGAAAGGAACAGAAAAATCTGTAGAAACAACAAAACAAGTAATAAAATGGCACTAAATACATATCTACCAATAATTACTCTGAATGTAAATGGCTTAAACGCTCCACTGAAGATACAGGATGTCAGAATGGATAAAAAAAATAAGACCCTACAAGAGACTTGTTTTAGACATAAAGATAGCTGCAGATTGAAAGTGAGGGATAGAGAAACATTTCCCATGCAAATGGACCTCAAAAGAAAGCCACAGTAGCAATATTGTTATCAGACAAACTAGATTTCAAACCAAGGGCACTATATCATCATAAAGGGGCCTATCCAACAAGATCTAACAATTGTAAATATTTATGTCCCCAACATGCGAGCACCCAAATATATAACACAATAACAAAAGTAAAGGAACTCACTGATAATGATACCATAATAGTAGGGGACCCTAACACCCCACCTACAGAAAGGGACAGATATCTAAGCAGAAAATCAACAAGTAAGCAATGGCTTTAAATGACACACTGGACCAGATGGACTTAGCAGATATATTCAGAACATTTCATCCTAAAGCAGCAGGATACATACAGTTCTTCTCAAGTACATATGGAACATTCTCCAGAATAAATCACATTTTAAAATATGTGGAAACAAATGAAAATGAAACACGATGGTCCAAAACCTTTGTGATGCAGCAAAGGCGGTCCTAAAAGCAAAGTATATACCAATACAGACCTACCTCAAAAGAAAAAAATCTCAAATACACAACCTAACTTTACACCTAATGGAGCTAGAAAAAGAACAACAAGCAAAGTCTAAAGCCAGCAGAAGAAAGGAAATAATAAATATTAGAGCAGAAATTATATAGAAACAAACAAACAAACAAACAAACAAACAAACAAAAAAGACGATACAATGGATCAATAAAACTAGGAGCTGGTTCTGTAAAAAAAATTACTAAAACTGATAAACCCCAAGCCAGACTTATCAAAAAGAAAAGAGAGAGGACTCAAATAAATAAAATCACAAATAAAAGAAGAGAAATAACAACTAACACCAAAGAAATACAATTACAAGAGATTATGAAAAACTATATGCCAACAAATCGGACAACCTGGAAGAAAAGAATAAATTCCTAGAAACATAAACCACTATAACTGAAACAGGAAGAAACAGAAAACTTACACAGACCTACAGCCAACAAAGAAACTGAGTCAGTAATCAAAAAACTTACAACAAACCAAAGTCCAGGGCCTGATGGCTTCACAGGGGACTTTTTTTTTTTTTTAAGTTTAAAGGGAAAG